TTAAAGGCCAACATTCAGCGCCATAGAGCATTGCAGGTCTCACCACCATCTTATAAAATTTTCCTTTCAGTCTTAGCGGTACTTTTCTATCACACAAAAGGCCCGAAGCATTCCTCCACTTCAACCTACCAACTTGAATTCTACTATTAACATCCCCATCTATATCACCATCGCTTTGGACAACGGACCCAAGATATCTAAATCGTTCACACCTTTTAATAATTTGATCACCCAAAGTCACACTTCTGTCACTAGAGCTATTACTACTAAAATTACATTCCATGTATTCAGTTTTAGTTCTACTTAAACGAAGGCCTTTAGACTCCAATGTAGACCTCCATAATTCAAGTTTTTCCTGGGCTTTTTCTCTCGTTTTATCCACGAGAAGAATATCATCAGCAAAAAGCATACACCAAGGTACATCCTCTTGTAGATGTCCAGTAAGACCATCCATAACTAAAGCAAAAAGATATGGGCTTAAAGTCGATCCCTGATGTAAACCAACAGAAATAGGAAAATATTTTGTCAATCCTCCTTCAGTTTGAACACAAGTAACAGCTCTAGTATACATATCTTTAATGACTTGAATATAAGTCATATCAACACATTTCTTCTCGAGAACTCTCCAAAGGATATCTCTTGGAACCTTATCGTAAGCTTTTTCTAAATCAATAAAAATCAAATGTAGATTCTCCTTATTATCTCTGAACTTCTCCATCAAACCTCTCAATAAATGTATAGCTTCCATAGTAGACCTGCCAGGCATAAATCCAAATTGATTATGAGAAATTTTCGTGATGCATCTTAACCTATGTTCAATTACCCTCTCCCATAATTTTAAAGTATGACACATCAACTTAATTCCTCTATAGTTTGCACACTCTTGTGCATCCCCTTTATTCTTAAAAATGGGGATCAAAATACTCTTCCTCCACTCCTCAGGCATCTTTTTAGTTTTTAAAATAATATTAAAGAGTTTAGTAAGCCAAGAAACTCCCAAATCTCCCAAATATTTTCACACTTCAATTGGGATATCATCAGGTCCTACAGACTTTCCACCCTTGGTTTTCTTTATTTAAAGATGAAAGAATAAATGAATTTAATGTTATATATGAAAGAAACCCTAGTTTATATTCTTACATCATTCATCTTCTTATTTGATGTATTCTTCATTTGTGGTGTATTCCAAAAGGTTGTTAAGTGACATAGTAAGGTGTGAATGGAAAGAGGAGCCATTTGTTATTTATATGAACCACAAACTTATTTTATTTAATAGAATATTTCATTGTCTTTAACTCTACAATAATTGGTGTTAAGTCTCCCATGGACTAATAAATTATTATGAGGATAAATTATTGTTTTTGTTTATGATAGTGCACCACAATCTCAACAACTTAAAACTCCCTATTAATTGTCACAAGTGTTATAAAATTGATAATATTTTACTACGTAGGATAAACTTGTTTTCATGTTTCTGAGCCTTCCTTATTCTTTTCAGGTATACGATGGATTGTCCTCGGTTCACTGATCATCTAGAAGCAATCAAGTTTATTTGCAAAGAATTTTGGTCCGAGCTCTTCAAGAAGCAGATTGATAACTTAAAGACTAATCACCGGGTTGGCCCAACTTAAATCAGAGAACCTCCAGATTCCTTATATTTTGGAAGATTTACATACATACTACTTAATTTCTATGTATTTATATATCTAATGCCTAAACTTCAATTTTTACATACATGCTGCCTTACCTATGCATGAAATGTGCATTTCATGTTTTAAAAGTTAAAATAGTGGTATTTTTTATGTGATATAAAAATTTTTGTGGTATAAATGTAAAAGATAAAGTTTAGGTGTTAGATATCTAAATACTTAGGAATTGGGTGGTATGTACATTAATGCCCCTCCCTTTATTTTTACATTATTATAGAGATGACTGTCATTGCACCATCATTGCAGGGTACGTTTGTTCTCCAAGACAATATGTTTCGATGGATTGCACGAATATCACCAAATCCTCTTCAAGAAAACTTGTCTGAGTCCTCTACTCCTAATGATGATAATCAGGCAGCTCAAATCACAAGCATGTACCTCTACTTTCCATGTGGTATCATTAGGGGCGCTCTTACAAGTCTGGGAATTCCTTGTGCTGTTTCTGCTGATATATCCAACCGTCCCGCATGTAAGTAATTTGGCCTTCCCCATCTTACATAGGATCTCAAGAATTTCCCATGTTATCATTAAAATGTTGGAAAATTTACATGCATACCACTCAATTCCTATGTATTCAAATATCAAACACCTAGAATTCAATTTTTACATAAATGCCACCTTACCTATGCATAAAAAGGTGTATTTCACTTTTTAAAACTAAAATGGCGGTATTTTTTTATGTGATATGAAAGATTTGGGTTTTATTAATGTAAAAGGTGAATTTTTGGTATTAAATATGAAAATACATAGGAATTTGTGGGTATGCATGTAAGTGCCCTTAAAATGTTTGGATAAACATTTCTGCTTGGTTTAATGTTTTAATGCCGACTGTTGGGTCCCAATATAACTTGACTGGCTACAGAAAAGTAGTCTTATAGGTTTACCAGACTGGGCTTGTGGAAGAACTTAATAGTACTATGCGTCAATCTGGAATGTCTATTCATATATTATTTTTTTTAATAACATTTGAATTAAATCATTTAAATCAATAGTGATGTTGATGAATCCTTAGTGTTTTCTTTTTCTTTTTCTTTTCCTTTATATGTTTTGCTTTGCTGCATTGATTGAGTAAGATGACAAGATATGCGGATCTGAATCCTGCAAAACTGCTTTTGGTTTTTCATCACTTTTTTGCTATGCATTTGGTAGACAATTTTTGTTTGAACTTTTAGGGCTGGCTAAACTTAAATGATATATTTAGGGGTCATTTGTGATTACTTTTACTTTCTGTTTTTATTTTGTTTTTTTATATTATCCCTAAAACAAAAATATGTTTGATTTTTCTTATACACTTATTGTTCCTAAGAAGCAACAAAAAAAAACACTGTTGTGGTACTGCCATAAATAATCCACATGTATATTCTAGAAGCTAAGTGGATAAATAAAAATACATGCTCTTTGGTATGCAAGTCAATATTTTCATGCTTCTATTTATCTTCATTCTCATTGCGGAAGTTTCAAGTAAATGCATAATTAGGCTTTAAATTTTTTATTTCTTTGATCAATCATATCTTATATTTTAATTTTTTTAATAAATTTTCTGCTTGGCTTGATAATTAGCTATGTTTATCTTCTCGCTAGCCCTCGTTCAAATCCAACCTGTAGCAACCTAGTGAATTTTATAACATGATTTGGAAATTTCAGTAGCAACTAATTTTGTTCTATTATTTTAAAACCAAATCAATTTGTTTTATAGACTATAAACAAAACATTTTAACAGACAATTTTATTATCACGTTAACCATATAAAAAATGGATAATTACATGCATGCATTCAAAATTTTGATATTTACAGAACTAACACCCATGTCTTTTTTTTGAGCTATCAAATTGGTGCATTTATGCATGTCACAATCAAACCATTAAGAATTTAATGAAAATAAAAATATCGATTAAGTTTTTATTGTGAATTTTGCTATTTGAGTGAGAATTTGAAAAATATATGAAACAAGGTGCTAGTTTAGTAAATAGCAAAGTTTGAGTGCTTTGTATGTAATTGCCCTTTCAAATAATAAAAGATGATGGAGAACACTGGTCCTTAACAGGCACTTAGTTTAAAGCTTTGCCTTAAAGGAATTGTTTTGACTTGGTATTTATTGGAATGTGTTTTGGTGCATAGTTAGGTTCCAATTGGGTGGCCGTTGAATTTATATGAATATTTATATTATATATTCATAAGAATTAGAGATAATTGGTTCTATATTCAAGTTTATGATTAAATTCTTTGGGTGCTTTGTATGTAATTGCCCTTTCAGATAATAAAAGATGAAAGAGAATACTGGTCCTTAACAGGCACTTAGTTTAAAGCTTTGTCTTAAAGGAATTGTTTTGACTTAGTATTTATTGGAATGTGTTTTGGTGCATAGTTAGGTTCCAATTGGGTGGCCGTTGAATTTATATGAATCTTTATTTTATATATTCATAAGAATTAGAGATAATTAGTTGTATATTCAAGTTTATGATTAAATTCTTTGGGGCTCTCAACAGATTTGCATCCTAGCTTATCCATTTTTTTCAATAATTTTGTTATACATTTTGTTGTGATACAAAAACTCAGTGTGAAAATTCAATGCAAAGGAAGAACTTAATTTTCCCTAATTCCTTAATTTTTGTTTATTATAGAAATATTCTTTTTAAAATTCTTCATTCCTTGTAATCACTAACTGCATAATAATATCATCACTACAAACCAGTACTATAGAGTTCCCCCTTGAACCCATGTGTTTTATAAATTATTTATGGTGTTCATGATTTTGTTTATATCTAATGTGGAGCATTACTTAGGCTAACTTTCAAATCATACCCTGGGAGCTCTCTTCGACTCATGCAATTTCATTTTTACATTACTTTTTGTTTGTAATTGAGTTACTTTATGATGGGATCTCCATAAATACTTTCTTCTCCAAGTCACCATGTATGTAGGTTTTCTCACATCTAGTTTTTTGTACATTGAGTTTTTGTATCTTTTAGTCATTTTTAATTGCAAAAGATAACCAACAATTTTCATTTTAGTAATCAGAGCAAAAGTTTCATGGCAATCAATCTTATAAATTTGAGGATAGTCTTTGGTTGTTAATTTACCTTTCTACCGAATCATCTTATTTATATTTGACTGTAAAGACCCATTTACATCCTGTTGTTTTATTTCCATTTGGCAGCTTTATTAATTCCTTTGTTTTTTATAAGGGCTTCTATTTTTTCCCTTATAACACTTATCAAATTCATATTATTTAAAATCTTAGAGACTATTTTGGGGATATAAATGGCATCTAGGTTAGTAAAGAAGGAATGTTGACTATTAGAAAGATTATTGTATGGCAAAAATAAATATAAGGGATGTTTAATAAATGTTCTTGAACATATAGTGGTATGAACTTGTTTGATTGATTGGACTTGCTTAGATTGAGATACTTTTTTACTTAATGTGTGATGTATGAGTATGGGACGGTTCTAATAAGGCCAATTTGATTAACAATGACTATTTTGGAACATAGTTGTTTGCTAGGATGAAAAATAAGGAAGGATAATTTTGGAAAAAAAAATTATTTGTGAATGATATTTTTTTATGATAAATAATAATAAAATTGTGATATTTTTCATTGAAAGTGACATCAACAAATCCATGCACCATTCTTGTAGAGGGATGGTAGCATTTTTTTCCCTTTTAAATAGCGTAGTCGGACATTTAATTATTCCAAGGCTCAAATGGTCATCTATTTTGGGAATATATATGAGCAAGGTTAACATTTTCAAAAGTTTTTTGAATAAGTTTGTTTGTGGAATTAAATTGATAAAAGAATTTGATTTGGAATTGTGTTGTGCTCTTAAACTCAGAAATTTTTTTATCTATATGATTTATGATGTGAGTGATTGTTAAAATTATTTGCCTCAATATTATTTTAGATTTTTTTTTTAAAAGGAGAGCCTTTATGATGATAAGTGGGTTGTCTTTTTATTGTTCAATTACTCTATTTTATTAGTATCATTTTCTTTTTTTTTTTTAAGTACGAGAAGATAGAACTAAAGTAGTATTTAGCATTGTCAGAATTAACTGTTTAATTTCAATGCCAAATTGATTTTCTATCATATTAAAAAGGTAAAAATTAATATGTACATTCCTTGGCTTTTAATAAAAAGTTCCATGACATGCAATCATCGTTAAATGACAGATTATCAAGCCCCAGAGATGCTCCTAGAGGATGATCCCTAGATATTTTAATAAATGAGTAAAAAAAAGAACAAAGGTTTTTGTATCATTTATTGGAAAATTTATACATTTGTATTTTGCTAGTTTACAAACATTATGGGGAAATTCTTCGATATTGATTTATTTGAATGGCTAAGGGAACACGATTTTGAGAACAAACAATGATCTGTGGCCAAGGCATAGAAGTTAAAGCCTGATTTTATTTCTTTATTTGTATTTTTTATTGGAGATAATATTGAAGTTTGTATGAAATTTTTTTAGTCATTGGGTTCTTCAAGGTGATAGAGGGTCTGTTTGGGGCAGCTGCAGCTTATCCAGTTTTTGCTGATAAGTAGCTTATCCTGATAATCTGCTGATGAGCAGCTGATCTGGATAAGCTGTCTGGCTGTTTGGTTGGCGCTTATGGAAAACAGCTGATGGTGAAAAATTGACTATTTTGCCCCTGTTCTGAATAAGCAGTTTAGCTGTTTGGTTAGTGCGTTTTGTAAACAGCTTATTTGAAAAAAATTTTCATTAAATGTACAATCTGTGCAGCAGAATCTAAATGTTCAGACAAGAAAATACCAAAAAGTTGAGTTATATCCATTTTATGCCTTGTACAAGCAGAAATTCAATAATTAGATCGTTGGAGATGAAAATTTCATTTGAACACTATGCAATGTGAATACCACTTCATAATCTTTGTTTGAAAACATGAATCGTATAACTCCAAGAGATCAACTGTCTGTTCTGATGCATAACTTATCCATTTTACAAAAACTAACTGTCACACTCAACATATAATAGCATCAAATATAAAAAATCAGCTCGCACATTGCTTCTCAAGTATAAACCTTGGTATCATTCATACAAGATATAGATATAGAGAAGCCATCACATAAAAAAAACAAACAGCGTTAAACACTTCACGTACGTTAAATGAAGCCAAAAAATTCCATAGAAATGAACCAAACAACATTACCAAGCTTTCCCCACTATATAATGCAAATTCATAGTGCTTTCAGCTTTTAACGGCCCTTAACACATAGGCTAGATATGTAAAAATATTACTGCTTAAGGCAATACCTGACCTTATTCCCGTGGATCACCATAATTTCAGTTAAGAACGTGCATTAAAATACCTTCTGTAGCAATTTACCATCTAGAAGATCACATACATTTTAATATATATACCAAACAAGAAGCATAATGATCTATCAGACTGTAATGTTGGTTTAAATTACACTTCAGTTAAGTGTATGTAATTGACAATCACACATCAG